CGTCCAAGTCGCTTCAGTAGTGTTGAAGAGAATTTGTACTTACGTATATAGCTAGCTTCAACAGGGCAGCGTAGATCAAAGCAGAAATTGATATAATCGGTAACTTGTTCACACTCCCATGATAGGTTTCCATCTGTGAAAACTGTGAGGTCAGTTGCAGCCAGCATTGCGTGGAGTTTTGCAAGATTTTCTTTTGAGCAGCCTCGCCTTCTGATGGTTTTAGAGGGCCTTTTTGTCAATGACACGAGTTTGGCGTTACTGTAAATAAATGGGCATAGCTTTAGGACACAGTAGTCTGAGTTCCCCAGAGGAGCTCGCTCTAAAGTAGAAAACAAATAAGTTTTGTTTGTGAAGGCAAAATCCAGTTGCGCATCGAGCATGGTTTTGAAAGATACCGTCATTGTTAGGCTAAGTGTGTCTTGATGAACATCGTATCATCATTATCATCATTATACACGTCAGCTAGAGGTGAGAGACACCTCAGCTACTGTGCCGCAATACATAAAGGAAAAGGAAAATAAATACAACAGTTGCATGCCAGCTGAGCTACCAGCAGCGGATAGGCATCGTTCCGGTAAGCTACCAGCCAGCTTCCAGGCAAAAAGAAAAATTATTATGTTTTACTCTGCGAAATGAGATCATAGATGGAGAGTGAGGCTAAAAGGGATGGGGAGGGACAAAGAAACTCACAATAGGAACGCCACTGAAGTCGGCACCTTGCCATGTCAGCAAGTGTATCTAGCCAAACGCGTTCATCGTCTTTTGAACCCCAATCAGGGAGTCGTGAGGCTCCAGTCGAGGACAGCTCCGAAGTGAGGACCTTGATTCCTCTGGACCAAGTCATCGCTTGGCCACCTCTCCTCTTCTTCCATCCACCTCCCCGGCGAGCAAACAACCCACGTCGTGGAAGTCGATGGGCTGGCATGCGTAACACGTGGCCCAGCCATCGGAGCCTGGTGCGTGAGATGACGGTGCTGAGCGGTTCAGATCCTTTTTCTGTGCCGTAGACAAGACGTCGAACACCCTCGTTAGTCACTCGTTGTCCCCACCAGATGTGAGCCAAATTGCGAAGGCACCGATGGTCGAACGTAACTAGCCTCTTCATGTCTGCTGATCTTAGGGGCCAGTTTCGCAACCGTACAGTAAGGTCGAACGTACCGCTGCATTGTACACTCTACCCTTCAGGGCGAGAGTAATGTCGCGCCGGCGCCATAAGTGGCGAAGGTTAGCAAAATCCCTTCGAGCTTTTGCTATGCGGTTCGCGATCTCTTCTTCGATCCCAAGGGCGCTGATACAACTTCCCAGGTAGTTGAATTTCCGAACGACCTCTAGCTGATCCCCACCAAGAGTCAGCGCAGGAGGCGATCCCTGCCAATCTTGGAGGAACGCTTTGCATTTCGATTTTGCAAAGCAAAGCCCGAAGCGGCTGACAGCCAGTGCTAATCTGTCCAGCGCGGCTTGACACGTCTGGGAGCTGACACATATGAGGGCAATGTCGTCTGCATACTCCAAGTCAAGAAGTCGTTCTCCTGGGAGTAGCTCCACACCTTCCAAGTCATGTCCTGTAAATGCAATCTCCTTGACTTCGTCAATAGCGAACTTGCGGAGGAATGGTGACAGCGGGCATCCTTGTCTTACACCGCTGGTAGCTTGTCTTACACCGCTGAATGTCGTATCACACATACGGATACGATACGGACAGAACATTCAACCTTATGCAGTAACACTGGTGCGAAATGATCAGCACAATTTTTGAGCTCAATCGGTGGCGTGTCCGAGGGGTCCATGTAGATGTTTCCGGTGACGACGGAATGAACTGCACTAAGAAATTTCGGTTTACACTCGATTAAATGAGAGGTAATTTTTGACGTTTAGTATGTAGAGAGCAAGGTTATTGCTTTACAGCGTGATTGGTTCACATGGATGGCAACGCCTCCGCGATTCTGTGACTTTCCAGGGCGGTCGGACCTCACGACGCGGTATCCATCGAGTTGGATAACCTCATCGTCCTCCACACCAGGATGTAAGTAGGTTTCTTGTAGCATTAAAATATCTGCATTCGCTTATTCCTTACGCTGCATAGTGCCATTGAGTTCAGTCCAGTTTGCCAAGTAGCGAGCGCACATTGCTAGCGAAAATTAGTGGCATTCGCGCTTTATTACTTGGACAACGTCGGAGTCTGGCTTGCCAGCCAACACGGTGCTTTCTTCTGTTCCCAAAGGGTTGGTTTAAAATTCGTTTTATGATGTTTCTGACTTTGTGACCGAATGCGATTTAAGGCCACTTTTGCAGCGTCTCTGAACAATTTTAAACAGTCGGCAGAGTAGGACAATATCGATGACCTCAGAATGATTCAGATAAACCAAGTGAGGAAAATAGACAAAGTTGATATATCCCTAGTAGACAATGCAAAAAGAGTACTCCGAGGAGAAAACTGCGACATCCGATTTAAAGGCCCCGCCACCAATCGAAGTTAGTAATTAGATTTACCACATGAAGATGCCTAGTGTATGTAACTTTTCGTTAAAATATGACCAGTACCCTACAAACGCGTTCATTGAACCCTTACTCAAGCGATCATGGTGCTTTGATATGCATTCAGAACCTACTGCATCTATGCGCTCACATCGTCGTTCCGGGCGTCCTACGAAGCGAATCCGGAGATCTGAACATACGGGTGCATGGTCATAGTCCATCTCAAGCTCTAACTTGGGTGACAGTCTTGAATGCAGTCTGTTCAACATCAGTAACTGTTCGCGATGGGATCGATTTGCATCCGTGGTCACTCTGATTGGCGACGAGACGATTTGCCCAACTTGCCAACCTGAATAGGTGTAGCAATGGCCACCATTCTGCTTACGGTAGCCTACGCTATGTTAGCCGCCTAAATGCCGCTCATCAGTGAACAATTTCCCAGCTTGAACAGGAACATTGTACTCCCAGAGATGCTAATAAATATGAGCAGAGGCTGAGATCAATTTTACTTAGGAAATGTGTCACAGCTTTTAACGAAACCATTTATTTTCTCAAAATGTCTCAATTCCGCTTGTACTACCAGAGCAACTGCAATGTGACTTATTTGATGGGGACCTCATTGCACGCCATTGACAGGCTCTGGAAAGACAAAGAGGCTGTCAACCACTGCTGCTGTTCGGTTGGGTCCACTGGTCTTTACTTCTAAACTTACACTGTGTAACCTCAACGCTACTCATTCATAGACAAATGGGGCAAATCAGGGTGGAACGGTAACAAAGACGTGGGGTCCTATTTTTCTGTTCACAAATATGATGGTTACAAGATATATCGTTTCTGTGATGGAGACGGTGGGAGAATTAGTGTGTCCATGTGTTTTTACCATCAGACCGTCCTACAGGTTGGTTACTTATCCTTGGTAAAATCGGGTTGGTGGGTGCCTTGTATACGCGTGACCTCATGAGAGGTCGGCATCTGCATGCAGGTGTTTACCTGAAATTACCCGAGGTCAATGAGGGTCAGTCGCAGTAGTGTTCGCAACCTCCGCAACATGATAGCGTTGCGTGCCAAGCAATAGCAGCGACATGCGCTTCCTTCGTCTCTCAAGCTTGACTCTATTCTCCCGTTTGTTTCGTTGCTATACTCTTGAGCTGGACAATGCACTAATTGGCTGGATTGACATAGAATTTTTCAGTGGACACAGACGCAGCTTGATCAACTATTTGTCGTATGTGCGCGTTGTCGCCAACGTTGTCACCACACTAGACTGATTTCAGTTTTCTTTTTTTTCTACGCTTTAACTTGGCTCGGGTGCCAACTCATCTATCAGTGTGCGCAATCTGACACCCCATTTCAATGGGATACAAATGTGGTGTTACCAATTTTGTGGAAATCTGCACAAATTACGTCACACTACAGATACAACATCCGTGCCACACTGTCGTTTCGTCCGGAACCACGAGACTGCAACCCAGCGGTCTCCGAAATGTGTTCACCCATAGACCCAGACATGACAAGTTGCGCCTTAGTGCGCATGCTTTGCTGAAATTCGGGCAACAAAACACCAGTTGCATCCCTAGCGTCTTCAAATTCTTCCTTAAGGAAATCATATTGCTCCATTGTTCTCTCAAGATGCTTCTTAACGCTATAGTTAAATCCAGCGGACACAAACGACCCTAAGCTCAAGTTCAGATGGGACTGGAACTCAAGAAGAATCTCCTGTGTGTACCTTCTTGAGTGGATCGTTGAGCCAGGAATTGATGAACTGCTCAGGGTTCTTGATGGATCGAATACGAAACACTTGTATCGTACCCTGACCAACCACTTGATGTCCACGTTTCCTGCCCTAGAAGTCCCTACTGTAGCAGCCACGTGAAGTAAGCAAAGGATAGGAAGAGAAATCGAAGGTAACTAAGTAGGACGTTCACTTGAAATAAGAGGATAATACCACGTGCACTTTTCTTTGAGAGAAAAATCCAACTCAACCAATAGCATTCTACTCTGCGTACTCAGGTGTTAAACTATCGGCTGATTTGGGATCGGTTAACCAAGGAAAATTATGCATTTTTTGAGATTGTTCGCTCCCGTTGAATGTATTTTGAAAGCGTAAAGGACTGCCTTGAGAGATCTAAGGAGGAACATAATATCTTCAAGGCGGAATTTGAAAGTGTTATGGATGTATTTGGTTGAGAAAGGGTTTTGTGCTTATTCACTCCATGATCTAGTGAGACCCATTTGGTTGAATTCCACCTGGCACATCTACCGACTCTGATTGTTACCAAGATGGTTTGATTCTTAAAACTATTAGTACTATTTCTGTCCAAATATGTTTCGATCACACTGTGTCACGAATTGAGAAACGGATCCATCATGTCATCCGTAACCTTGTATTCGTTACGTTATAGACGACTGGAGGTGAAGGAGTCTTTATATCGCAGGCAGAAACGTGAAAGTATCTGCGCACTCCTAGCCTTGACGTTTTTGATTTTCACAACTTTATCATTGTTTACTTTCCGCTGCTACTTCAGATCCCATAGGTTCAACTCGAAATCGCCGTATGCGCTTGGCTGACGATCTGGAATGTGTTGGACCAGGTCGGCCTTGTCAACAAGACTATCTTGAGATATCAATCAAATTGCCATCTTCGAGCTTACCACCCGGCTCCATGAACTTACTTCCTGTGACTCGAATCTGTTTAGTGGACGCAACCAATCAGACGGAAGCTCAGTCCGTAAAGCAGGAGGCGCAGATCACGGGCCGTACGTTCGGACCACTCACGAGTGCCGTGGGACTACAGTTTAAATCAAATCTAAACCTACTCAACCCACATGTGATAGCCGGAAAGGGAATTCTCATCGAGTACATCGGTAAGCCATTTGGGTTGTTTTGACTCTTTCAGTACGCATTTGAACAGGCTGTGTACGGACAATCAATTGCATATGATCCTTTTAGCAATCACTATTTAAGTGACCTAACCCGCTTTTCATCTTCTGCACTTTTGACGCATTCGGTCTACAAGCTCTCTGTTCGAGCACCTTACTCATGTGTTCTGCATTACACCGACTTAAATCAAATTTTGCTACCTTCATCACTCATTTTTTCGCCTTCCTTGCCATCAGCTGTCTATTAGTGAAGTACTTTTCATCTGGATTTTTCCCTCTGGACAATCCGAGGGAAAGTGTTGTGGGACAGTGGATGCCAAATAAAAATGTGTTTGGGGCTCCCATATAAAATGCACAAATATATAAATACATAAATATATATATATATATATATATTTATTTATTTATTTATTTATTTATATGTTCGAGGGTCATACAATAAATAAGGTGAATTTTTCGGTACAAGGACTTCCAATGCAGATAGAAGCTTACTTTTTGTTTATGTTCGTTGTTTTACTTCTTTTTCACATGGATGTAATTTCTTTTGCAGACTAAAAAAACTTTGAGAGTTGTGGCGATTAACAAAGATGGCCGACCAAAAGCATGCTTCGGGATTGAACAGCGGTCAGTTGTCAAGTTTTGGGTTGCTGAAGAGTGTAAACCAGTTGAAATTCATAGGAGAATGTCAACTGTGTATGGTGCCACATGTTTCAGCCGAAAAATGTCTACAAGTGGGAAAAATTGTTTAAAGAAGGACGGAGCAGTGTTGAGGATGAAGACAGACCTGGGAGACTTACAGAAGTGAGGTCTACTGTGGTGATCGAGTCGGTCAATGACCTCATTCAGTCGGACAGAATGGTGACAGTGGATGACATGGACAATTTTGTGTGCCGCCACAAGAGATAAGCTCAAAGTCCTTGCAATGTCATCCACTGTCACCCTTCTGTCCAACGGAATGAGGTCATTAACTGATTCGATCACCTCAAGAGACCTCACTTCTGTAGGCCTCCCAGGCCTGTCTTCATCCTCAACACTGCTCCGTCCTTCTTTAAACAATTTTGCCCACTTGTAGACGTTTTTCGGCTGAAACACATGGCACCATACACAGTTGACATTCTCCTATGAATTTCAACTGATTTACACTCTTATATATATATATATATATATATATATATATATATATATATATATATATATATATATATATATATATATATATATATATATATATATATATATATATATATATATATATGGACCCCGTCCCGTCCAGCAACGACCAACAGTCTCCTGAAGCCGGTGTGGACGCAGTGGAGGGTATCAAACAGATAAACACCTTGCCCACGTTCACATCAGGTGCAAGCCCTCCGGATAGCTTAATCAACATCTAATCCCTGATATGCAAGAATACTCATCACGCAGGCAAACTTATCTTATCCGTTGCCTTATTGGCCTAAATTAATAAATCGAATGGGAGCGGATGCATCGCGCTTCACTTCCGCGTGCAATAGCGCCTTCTCATGCACCTGGGCAACTGCTCTCTTGATCATCCCACGGAATTCGCACCGATTAACTTTGCCTTTGATTCGCAACCCCCTGAACTCAACATTAGTTCGTCATAAACTCACCTTCGTGTCTTCGTAATGTTATTTTCGGTTTGCCAGAGGGCCGCTTTTCTGCACTAAGTTGCCCATACAAAAGCCGTATGGGTATTTTCGTCAAATTCATTCGGTTTACATATATACATGGATTAGCGTCATCCGTGTCCAGTGGCAGTTCGAGTACAACGTATGCTCACGCGTTTGTCCAAACTTAAGTATGAAATGCCACAAACTGGATAGAGGCACATTAAACCGCATGAACAATAGTACTGCAAGCGTACATGGGTTTCGTTTGGAGGTCAGTCTAACATCCATTTTCGCATGCATGAGAATTAGTACCCAATACGAACTGTTGGTGTTTTCCGTAACATTTAGTCGTGAGCATAAATGACAGCCATAAATCTTGGGCATCCATATTTGAACGAAACCGATATAGGAATAGTGAAGCAACCTCCATCAGTACGGTTACTAGGTAGAATGATTAATAAACAAGCAGTACAGTAAAATAGTGTGTACATAGGTGTTGTCTCCCATATGTACAATCTGGTTTGCCTAGCTGATGGGGGAGATCGCACAGCGTGCGAATGCGTTTGGGTGTTCAGTTCAGTCTCTTCGTGTCGCCGACCGGTCCGATCATCTGCTGCCCGAAGTGTGGGCGGATTCGCAAGAAACGTTTTTTTGCACAATCTTAAGCATCGACAGGTGGCAATACCACATATTCGCCGTTTACGGCCTCGTTGGCACGACAACAACCGCAGAACTACATTAACTAAGTCCGGCTGCCCACTGTCAAACATACGGCTTTCAAAACAGTGTTCGCACTGATTTGAAAATGTCCAGGACGTAGCATGTCTCTCATCCAAGTACTCAACCTTTTTATACATACCGCTGTGTACCGTGTTGTGACTATTTGGTGACAATCTATACCGTACGTCTCGAGTGCAACCATTCGGCGTTATGCGCCGATTCCTTTCCGATGTAACATACTAAGACACTGACGTACCATTACCGTTGGCATTACCTTCTTCTTAGTCTACCCAGAAGATTGGCCATGTACAATTCAATTTCTAGTAGGCACCTCTGCGCTTTCGCCTTCAATCCGCATAGTACCTGCGTTTTCATAAGCGCAGGTACATTCAGTATGACTGCTGAGCAACGGGTAAGATAGCTATGCTTTCTCTCAGCACTTACGTATGAAGCGGAACACAAACTGTCGACATCATGATAAATACTAGCCAGTTACTTATCGGGGTAGTTCATTTGTCACGGATGTTCCAGGTCGATTTCTCTTCGGATCCATGGTCCAACCTGATCACACGGGGGACAATCGTTGAGTATTGTATTCCAAATTTCAAAGTTTACACTTTTTCTGCGTACTGTAAGCGGCTAAGCGCTTGTAACCTTTGATTCACGCCTCACCACCGAACTGTAAACATACTCATTAAATTGCCACCTTAGCATAGATCCGTATCAACTGTGCGCGCATGCAAACTACGAATGAGCTCATGGATGGTCTGAACCTTTATCCTACGATATACTGGTTCTCTAGAAATGCAAAGTACTTCTCCTAGATTGGCAGGGACCCAATCCTGCGCTAACGCTTGGTTGCGATCTGCTAGAAGTCGTTCAGGAATTCAAGTACTTGGGCAGATATATTAGCACCCGTGGGATTGAAGATGAGGTTACGAACCGTATAGCAAAAGCTCGAGGTGCTTTTGCCAATCTCCGCCACCTGTGGCGCAGACGCGACATTACTCTCGCCCTGAAGGGCAGAGTTTACAACGCAGCCGTCCGTTCAACTCTCCTATATGGCTGTGAAACCTGGCCCATCAGGTCAACAGACATGAAGAGGCTCGGGACGTTTGATCATCGCTGCCTTCGCAGCTTAGCTCATGTCCGTTGGGAGCACCGCGTGATCAATGAGCATGTTCGACGTCGCGTATTTGGTACAGGAAGAGCGAGTGAACCGCTCAGCACCATTATATCACGCACCAGGCTCCGATGGTTGGGCCACTTGTTGCGCATGCCAGCACACCGACTCGCGCGACGTGCATTTTTGCGCGTTGTGGGTGCGGTTGTAAGAGGAGGAGGGGAGGCCAAGAGAGAGATGGAAACCCTCACTTCGAAGTTGGCGTTGGTTGGTGCATCCCGACTGCCTGGCTGGGGTCCTAAGGACGGTGAACACGCTTGGTTGGACATACTTGCTGATATGGCTTGGAGCCGGCCCCAATGGCGTTTATGTTGTGAGTTCCTTTGTCCATCCCCCTCCTGTTTAGCGTCCCACTCTAATCACGATCTCACTCGTTAGGCATAATATGACTCTCTTTCTACGGCACGATAGCCAGCTGTTATCTCTCCGGAACGATGTCCATCCGTTAGTGGGGACTCAGCCAGCGTGCCACTGTTTTTTTTCTTTTTCTTGTCTGTTGTATTGTGGCACAACAGTTGAGGTGTTTTCCAACTACAGCTAACGTGTATAATCATGTATTGGTTCTCGAAGCGTTATGCCAGTTAGTATCGGGCAGCTGGTCGAGATTGGGTCATGTAATCTTCCAATCACTTTCCAAGAGAAGAATGTCGCTAGTAAAAGGGATAGCGGCAGCCTCGCATAGTCTGGTAAACAATACCATGGAGCTTACTTGGTAAAGTGAATGGCGAACGAATAATAGTATGAAGAGGAAGATGTTGTGGGGTTCTCCGTCTCTGTATGTCACCGTACTAGAATCCACTTGAAAAGGTGGCAACGGTATTAAAGGTCACGAAGAGTGTAAAGGTGTAGTGCGCAACACATGATTTAATCGGGAAATACAATCGAGTTTTGTAAGTCCAATAAAATATAAGTTACACGTGGCTGTTCCATCACACAGACAGGTGCAATATAAATACTGCATTGCACCAAGTCAGTAGTTAATCATTCTAGAATGAAACTGTATTCAAGCGAGACTTACCTTAGCGATGGAATAAGGATGATACAAAAAAGATGACGGAGCGTGAATATGTATCTTTTCAAGTTTGCAAGGAATATGGTGCACTTGAGTCAACTGGTTTTCGTGAGCCCAGCTAAGTCAAAGTTGGCGGATGAAGGACACGAATTGCAACTCTAATCACTTTCGTGCAACAGGACCGCGCGGACACAAGCGTTGCAGACCCTCCCGTTTAAGGAGGGGAATATATCCCGACCACGTCACAAACGACTCTGGTTGGTAACAAACTTGTCTTGTAAACTGAAGGCGCGAGTTCGAGCCTGCTTAGAGGATTGGGTGATCTTCGCAGTATCCCCTTAGCCTAAGCTCCACCGGTGGTGATTGCGCGACAGTGGAGCGACGGTACGCAATACCGGCGTACTGCTGATGCTTTTCTTTTTTTGTCTTTTGGCGATGCGAA